TTTTTTATTCCAGATGAATTTTTGGACAGTTTGTTCTAGGTCTGTGAAATATTCTGTTGGTATCTTAATGGGGATTGCATTGAATCTATAGATTGCTTTGAGTAGTATGAACATTTTAATGATGTTGATTCTACCAATCCATGAACACGGTATATTCTTCCATTAGTTTATGTCTTCCTCTATCTCTTTTTTCAACGTCCTGTAGTTTTCTGAGTACAGGTCTTTTACCTCCTTAGTTAAGTTTATTCTTAGGTATCTTAATTTTTTTTTTTGCAATGGAAAAGGGGATTGTTTGTTTAGTTTCTCTTTCTGTGAGTTCATTATTGGTGTATAAAAAAGCCATAGATTTCCTGGTGTTAATTTTGTATCCTGCTACATTGCCAAATTCATGTATTAAGTCTATTAGTTTTTTGATGGAGTCTCTAGGGTTTTGTATGTATAATATCATGTCGTCTGCAAATAAGGACAGTTTTACTTCTTCTTTTCCAATTTGGATGCCTTTTATTTCTTCTACTTGTCTAATTGCTATGGCTAGCACATCCAGTACTATGTCAAACAGGAGTGGTGAAAGTGGGTATCCCTGTCTTGTTCCTGTTCTTACGAGAAATGGTTTTAGTTTTTGCCCATTGAGTATGATGTTGGCTGTAGGTTTGCCATTATATGGCCTTTATCATGTTGAGATATGCTCCCTCTATTCCAACTTTGCTGAGAGATTTTATCAAAAATGGGTGTTGGATTTTGTCAAATGCTTTTTCTGCCAGCCTGGTCACCTCTAACCATCTCTGCCTGCCAGAACATGAACTAGAGTAAAACTAGAAGTTTCCTATATATAACACATGCCTGTAGAAGAGATGACCACTGGAGATTTGTCATCCATACATACAAAAACATAGTTCTGCAACATGCATAATTCAATTATGTATTGGATTTTTAACAATATCAGCCAGGAAGCTATAAGATTATTTTATGGCTGTCATAAAATGTCCCTGTCTCTGAACACGACTTAGGCTGAAAGTTTAAAGTCTTGATCTTGTCATCTTCTTTCCGTAAGCAAACCAGTGCACTCAGAATCCTTTCCATGCCACAGTCCTTGTAGTCACCTTTACCGCCATAACAGTCATGTGCAGCAGCCACGTGGTGCCCAGAGCACTTGCTTCAGTCAGCACTCTATCATTATCAACCAGGTGATTGTGGCTTGATCATGATGCCACTGTGTGCCATGAATTGCCAGTATCCCGTTTCATGTTGGCAAGGAGCTCAGTACTCCGTTCAAGCCCAAGTTCATTACTGAATTAAGGTACATAAACAATCAGAAAACCCATCCATTTGGGGGTGAGGGAAATGGGGAGAGGTTGGTAAAGGTACAAACTTTTAGTTGCAAGTTGTGGGGATCTAATGTATAGAATGATGACTATAGTTAATAATAACATAGTGTATACTTGAAATTTTCTGAGAGAATAGATCTTGTGTTCT